GCGGCTTTGCAGCACCACCCGGAGACGTTTGTGAGTGTGATTCCGCTGTCCACGCCGTCAAATTGCGGGCCGCCGCAACTGAAGACTTCAAATGACAGTGACAATTCGTTTTCTTTGTTCACGTCCAACTCCATGACGGCGGATCGTGGGTTTGATCCGATATATAGGCATGTGGCTGTTGGCGGTACCTTTGACCAACTCCACGCCGGTCACAAGCTTCTGCTCACCACGGCAATGTTTTACGCCACCAAGACGCTGCGTGTTGGTGTCACACAAGAGGAATTGCTAACGAAAAAGTCTCATGGTGCGTATATTGAGCCATTTGAAACACGCTGTGCCACCGTTTCGCGATTCCTGTCATTCCTTCGAAGGGACATCGACGTAGATGTTACCGGAATCACAGAGCCGAGTGGCGGCACTGACCGCATCGCGGAGGTGGAAGCGTTGGTTGTGTCACCCGAGACCGCAAGTGCCGTTGGCACTATCAACGTTACGAGGGCATCACATGGGCTGCCGCCGATGCAGTCTGTTGAAATCAGCTACGTGGATGTCGATAATGACAAACATATCAGTTCAACGGAGTTGCGCAGACGACTACATGAAAGGCGGCAAGGGACGAATTAATACCTTCTGCTGGTGGATTTGTTGGTGAATATACACGGTTGGCAAGGGAACATATGGAGGGGTTTATTGGTCCACACACACAGATCTATAAGCATCACCTCACCCCTCCTTCCTCTACGTGATGTTATTCTTTTAGTATTCACCTACTGAGGTAAGACAAAGGATGACAGGAGCGTTGGCGAACATCAATGAGGTATTCCTGTTTGCCGTCCACTTCTGGCGGCCTCATCTGGCGATCATGGCGCTCTCGGCGGTATTGATCTTGCTTTCGACGAGCATGAACATTGTCATCCCACAGCTCGCACAGGAAGTTGCGACGTTTGACAGCAATACTCAAGACGCAGACAAGGGCCAGTTTTGGTTGCCAGTACTCATCTCGGCTCCGCCTGGTCTGGTAAGTCGCTGTGCCTTACTGGCTGCTGTTATTGTCCTGTACCACACCACCTCATTTGCTGGGCACAAGATGGCGTACCTTGCTGGGCAGCGGATTCACAACACTATTCTGGAGACTGTGCTCTTCGCTATTCTGACGACACCGCACCTGGACCGTATTTCGTCGGTAAATCCTGTCAAACTTGGACAGGTAATCCTTTCTAGCGCAAAGACGTCGGCAGATGTTGTGGGAGCATTACTAACCGATGTGCTCTCGTCACTGTGCGGCGCCGTAGTCCTCCTTGGCTTGCTTTTACACATGTCTGCGAGGTTAACACTGACAATAGGTGTTGTGTTTATGAGCTCTCAGCTTGTGCTCTTGGGCGTGCGTCGGAAACAACACAACCGCAGCAAGGAATTGGCGCTGGCGGAGTCTAACGTGCAGGCTCTCACAACCAATGCACTCCACCGTAGCGTGACTGTTCGTGTATTTCATGCAAAACCCCTCATTATGAGCGGCCTTCGTGAGAGACTGCAACACTTGTCAAGCATTAATGAGGATGTCGTAACGGCAATACATGGACAAACTGGGGTTTCTTCGGCTGTGACAAGACTTCTTTTCGTGCTCGTTCTTGGCATAACAAACAGTTATCGCCAGAGGGGTGAACTGGGTATTGTGGATATTGCCATGTACTACATGTTTATGTATCAGTTCATCAACCGAACGCTTAGCCTAGTGCATGAATATCACCGGGCAGTGTCCCTGCTGGAGGGCCTTCACACACTACAGCAGTTGGTTGTCTGGTACGGAGTGGAGCATGTGGTGCGGCAAGAGTTAGCAGCTTCTCACCCAGAAGTATCAATTAAGGAGACTGTGAATCAAACTTCCGTGGAGGAAGGATCTAAAAGTGATGGAGCAACAACCACGCTGGACAGCTCAGCCACCGCAGTCCTGGAGAACGTTAGTTACGTTTACCCAGAGGTTCCTTCCTTCCTTGTTGATGCCACTGAGAAGGACGCCAACAGCAGAGCGCGGTGTGGTCCGAACGAAAGCGACACCTTCTCTTCCACGTATTCAAACAGTTCTAGAGGGAGCGGCATTCACGATGTAACGCTCACAATAGAACCGGAAAAGATCACTGTCTTGTACGGTTCAAGTGGTGCTGGCAAGAGCACCTGCCTGCGATTACTCGCTGGCCTGTTGCAGCCGTTAAAGGGGACAGTGCGCACCCACTCCAAAGTGGCGCTTTTGGAGCAACAACAGGCAGTCCTGCTGGGCACCGTTGCGGACAATATTCTCATGGAAGACACCAGCACCTTTTCAAAGGCAAAGCAGGAGAAGGCAAGGCACAATGTCAATCTTGCAATGCGGCAGAGTGGTTGCCAGTCGTTCCTAGGCGATCCATTTCGGACGGTTATTCATAGTCCTGACAGAGCTCAATTCAGCGGTGGACAACTGCAACGAATTTGCATGGCGCGTCTCTACGCACATCAACAATGCACTCTCCTCCTCCTTGATGAACCAACAACAGGACTTGACGCACCCAGTGTCGAGCATCTTTTAGCCACGTTGACTGAACTCAACAAAGTCCATCACAAAACAATTGTGGTTGCTTCGCATGACACGCGTGTATCGGCTATTGCCCATAATATTATCGACATGCAAGACACAAGAAAGAATCAATAGTGCGATCGACATACATATACAGGCGCCGCGACAACCATGCATGGCAAACGCCAGGTAACGCTCATCATCCATACTAACAAGGGACGTCTACATCTAAGCACATGAAGTATGGAAGAAATTCTTCTTGCGCCTAACAAGAACACCAATCATATAGAGCTAACATTGAGAAGTATATTTGAATGGATTTTAAAATCCAACTTTAACCTTCACTTTCACTCCCTCCCCCCTCTCCTCCAGCGTCGCCGTGTCGAAGTGAAGCCACACCGCTCACAAGAGCTAATGACACACCCACACCTCTGCATGATATGAAGTTCACGTCATTCCTTGTTATCGCAACGACATTTGCCAATGATACTTGTGAAATTCGTGACTGCAACTGACGAGGTGCCTGATGGCTCGTTAAGAAGTGCCGTTCCACCGACGTCGCAGTCCTCCAGCGAAGTGCTGTTGAGAGATACTGGCCACGCTCTGCAGGACTTTAGTGGCTTGGCGGTGATGCTTACAGCTGCACTGATGCTGTAGTTGACCATTATTGCGTGCCAGTGTACCGTACGACCTGAGCTGGGGCCTTAAACTTTTTCGTTTAGTGCGTATTCTGGAAAAAATAGCTGTTTCCTTGTTCTTACTGATATTACTTATGGAGCAGTTGCCTTTATTTTCTCTGTGTGTGCAGCTTGCCACCGGATGACCGCTTTTTTTTTTGGTTGTTGTCTTAACGTAGTCAGCAACTCCACCCACCCTTGCACCGGCTGCTGACCCATATAACGGGCCGCTAGCCGCGGATTGGAGTAACAGCAGTGACTTCATTTCTTGGTGGCCGTGGATGGTGACGCGCGTGTGCATACATGTCTGCGGGTCATACGTAATGGAATGTACGTGGAGGCCTGCCCTCACGGTGTGTGTTTTCTGTGGTTTTCTTGGGTGCAATATGTGATCTCTTTCGTTACTTTTTTTGTTTGCTTCTTTCACGTTTGTAGGCTTGATTTTCTTTTACCATGAATGAGTGTCAAGTGTACAGGTGGGCTCTTTCCACTTTGGAAAGCGGCATTATTTCAATATCTTCGGACTTAACGAAAGTTGAAGGGCGTGGAAGCGGGTGTGTGTGTCTCGGTAGCTTGACTCAGTCTTGTGCGGCTGCGAACTCCAGTGCTCCTGCTGGTGCCGTTGCGTTTTGGGAGAATTTCTTGTTATCTGTCGGGCGGTCTGTTTCTCCCGGGGTTTTGCTTGCTTCTGGCCCCCGCGACGTCATTGCAGCTTCAGATGACACTCTAACTTCTGGGAATTCTGAGCTGTTTCGCGTCTGTTTGGGTGATGCGTTGGCTGAGGCTTCCGAGGCTGCGTTTCTTGTGTGCAATCTTGCTGCAGCGTGGACTCCAACGCAGCCTGCGCTGGATGGCGATGACGCCTTGAGCCGCGACACAGAACTGCTGGAGCACGAGAAGGCGGAGCTGTGCGACGCGCGGACGTGGCTCGCCGGGCTGCGCCTGCTCCTCGGCGACACGGGGCGGAGTTATCTGCACGACGAGGCGTCGCTCTCTACTTGCGCGGTGCAGGACGAAGGGGACGGCGCTGCTGCGTTCAACGGCCGTCGTGAGCAGCTGCAGAAGGCACTCATTGATGCGCTGCAGGCGTGCGACGCGGAACGGTTCGCGCTGCAGGAGGAGTTGCGCGGCCGGTTGACGGTGACAACTGAGGCGTCACCGCTTGAGGCGTCGCTGCGCCGCGAAGCTGCGGCGCTTCGCGAAAAAAAGGCGGCGGCGGCACAGAAGCTGCGCTGCCTCCGTGACGCTGTTGAAGAGGAGCGGCGCCGTGCTGCTGCCGCTGCTGAGGAGGCTGCTGCTGCTGCGGCACTCGAGGAAGAGAACATCGCGCTGCAGCAGCAGGTCGAGCAGTGCCAACGCTGCCTGTGGGAGCGGCGGCAGCGGACAGTCGAGGGCGGTACCGTGTCGCTGCTGACGCGGTGTGCATTCGCTGCAGCGAAGCGGGATCGGCTACTGCAGGAGGTTCGATGCTTGTCCGCTGCGTGCGAACGTGAGAAGGCAGCGCAGAGAGCGCTCTCCGCTGACCTGAATAGGGTGTGTGCAGAGGCCACCAGGGCCAACCGTCAGCTTCGTCTTCTTATGGCGGAAAAGTCTGTGACGATGGATCTCTCGCGGGAGGAGCATGTGCAATCAAGCATTACTGCAACGCTACGATCAGCGTTGTTAGAAGGCGCAGCGATCGGCAAGTCGTAGTGCACTAGTTATCGTGTTTTTTTGTTACTTTGAATAGTGTTGTTCAGAGGAGCTGTCTTTTTTTTTTTGGTTTATATGTATTCGCGTATGTGTGTGTCTCTCTCTCTCTGTGTGTGTGTGTGTGCGTCTGCGTCTATGCTTGAAAACGTGTTATAATGGGCTTCTTTCTTGTTGCCATGTGTGGAGGGAAAGGGCAGAACATATAGCGTGTATTAGGCAGCGAACCCTCCTCATAGCAACTGGAGGAGAACAGCAACGACGACAAGAAAAATAAAACAGCAGCAATGAGCATGCGTATGTCCCCCGGTAAGATATACGCTGGTGGTGTTTTCATCATCGTTGCCCTGACGGTGTGGAATCGTCGTTCGACACACCACCTCCGCGGCATTGTGGACGGCATCAAGGAGGCGAAGATGCAGGAGGCAGCGCGACTGCGGGAGTCGAGAAGTGACTAGGTGCCCGTGTGCAGTGCTGGCAGATGCGTATCTTGGTGTGTCTTGCCCACCGTAAATCCATTTTCTGCCTCTCATACACGTTTAGAGTATTCTTTGTTAATATTTCATCTTGCATCGTTTTTATTCGGATTCCTTTGTTTTCCCTTTTTCATTTCGTGTTCCGCGCTTCCATTAACCGGGCTGTGAGTGCCGAAGAAAGACATAAGGGGCGGAATGCAGTCTGGCGCTGCGTTTGGGCAGTCCTTTGGGGGGAGGCACCACGCGCCGCCGCGGGACTCCGAAAACAACCTTGTGATGAACGAGAATGACCTGATGCAGACGTTCCTCTCCCGACGACGACGGATGGAGGCGGCATCGCGCCTCACCGAAGAGATGATGGCACAAGTTAGGTCCATCGTCGATACCGGTGATAACGCGGCGTACATGCTGTTGCTGGAGGACTTGACCACCGTGAACAGATCGTCATCGGACGCGAGAAAAGTGAGCGACGGTGCCAAATTCAAGGATGATTTCATGGTGATGGGCAACCTGAACACCTCAAGCTCGCCTGAGGTCCTCCTGGATCAAGAAATGAACACCAAACTGAAGAGAATTCGGGATATGCGGGTGGAGCAGCGAAAAGCGGCTGAGGAGCGAGTAAAACCAGCTTTCCAGATAAGAGAGTCTGAGATGGAGCTCATTGATCCACCCGAAAAATTCACGTCGACGGCGCTCGCATTCTCAATGCAGGCTCTCGCGACAAGTGTTGCTAAGATTATTGATGCAACGGACACCGTCTTGGGGCATCTGGCGGAACTGGACAAGACGATGACACCTCCTATATTTAAGGAAATGAACATCCTTACAGGGCACTCGCAGCACGCCTACCAGTGCTACGTGACGGCGCTTCAGCATCTCAAACAGTACGAGACATGTGAGAAGGCCCTTATGGAGGGCACCTCACAAGAATTGAGTAGTATGCGAGAGCAATTCTTGATGTGGAAGGAAATGCTAACTTCCCAAGAGCAGAAGCAAAAGGTCGCGGAAGAGCACCTTCAAGCGCTAAAACACCGACTGTCCGGTATCGACGCACGATGCCGTATGTGGACCAGTGTTCTGCTTGATGCTGCAGTACCACCGCCGTTGCCTTTTTTGCTTATGGGCGCTGCCAACGCCAACGCCAGCCGCATTTCTATTTCACAGGGACGCGATTCTCTGCTGCAACCCCTCTCCGCCAGCCTGCATCGGGTCACTAGCGGGACGCGGCGTATGAGCATCATTGGAGTCACCCTACCGAGGCGTGTGTCCAGTGCTCGTCAGCAGACACCAGTGCTGGCGGAGAGCATCATCTCCTCCTCGTCCTCATCCTCCCTGCCTGATGAGTTGGAGAGCCGCGTGGACGCAATGGAGATACGAGTAGCGCGCTTCTGGAGCAACCCGTACGTTGTGAAAGCCCAGTTGTGCGCGGAGCGGCTGCGCCGACGGCGGCACCGGCAGACGGTGCAGTGCTCGCCACTACCGGACGCCGCCGTTCCTCCACTGCTATCCCGCAAAGAGTCGATGCAGTGGATTGGGTCGTCGCTATGGCACTCGGGCGAGACGCACCGCCTGTCTCGGGTGGACCCATTGCAGAAGGGTGCCGGAGGCGAGCTGGGTGGCGGCGGCAGCGGCAAGGCGGTGGCGGATGTGCGTCTCATTGCGTTGCTGCGGAGTTTGCAGCGCCTGGCGTCGCACCCCTCCACNATGAACACGGCGCTTGCGGCGGAAGAGACGAACAATGCCAGCAGCAACGCTAACAACAACACCGAAACTAACACCAACAACCTCCACAACAGCGCCACCAGCAGCAATACCAACACTAACAGTCTGAAGTGCACAGAGGAGGAGAGTGGGGCGGTAGCGGGGCCGGGTGACGGTGCTTCGCACTGCAATGGCAGTGCCAGTGCCGGGAGCTCATTCGCTTACGGGGATGCGCAATCAGCTGCCGATGTGGTCACTGGGGCGTCCCTCGGCTTGGTGGATAGCATCAGGAAGCTTCTGAAGTATCTGGACGAGACTCATGTAACTGCGCCATGAGGGACGATTGCTATGTACAGCGGGAGCATCTATATATGTGTGATTGTGTATCTCTGCGTGTGTGGGTGCGGGAACCCGTATAGTTCTGTGCGTGATGAAGCAGAGCAAGTATACACTGCGGGAAAGGAGTGATTCTGTTTCGTTATATATATATATATATATTCACTCTGAACTCACCTACAGTTGAATATCCCATGCTCTTCTCTCCGTGGGTATCACAGTGCTGTTTGCTTTCCCCCTCTCCCCCCCCCCTCTCTCTCTCTATTTCTCGGTCTCTATCTATATCTATCTAAACACCCGCTCTTTTGCCTTGAAAGAAAAAGCCATACAGCCAAGCAAACAAAAAAGCATACAAAACAACAGCAGGAAGGCAGAAGTGGAATAACAATAAAAGAAAAGTCTATTAGTATCTCCTGAGGAGAAGGCACTGTCAACGTTTCAGCATGTCTCAACATCATTATGTGTTCAAGTACATTATCATCGGCGATAGTGGTGTAGGGAAGAGCTGCCTTTTGCTCCAGTTCACCGACAAGCGTTTTGAGCCGCTCCATGACTTGACGATTGGCGTAGAGTTTGGCGCCCGTGTGGTGACGATCCAGCAGAAGAACGTGAAGCTGCAGATATGGGACACCGCCGGTCAGGAGAGCTTCCGCAGCATCACGCGCAGCTACTACCGAGGCGCATGCGGCGCTCTGCTTGTGTACGACGTGACACGGCGCGAGACTTTCACGCACCTGCAGACGTGGCTGGAGGACGCGAAGGCCAACGCCAACACCGCCATTGTGATCATGCTGATTGGCAACAAGTGCGACTTAGAGGCGAAGCGGCAGGTGTCGCGGGAGGAGGGTGAGACCTTTGCAAAGGCGAACAACTTGGTGTTCATGGAGACCAGTGCCAAGACGGCGCAGAATGTCGATGACGCCTTCCTCAAGACGGCCATGATGATCTACGACAACGTGCAGAACGGCATCGTGGACCCGTCGGTGGTGTCGGGGAAGCCCGGGCCCGCGAGCGCCGCAGCGCGTGTGGCCCCGAAGGGGAATGGCGCGCAGGACAGCGGGAAGGGTTGTGAGTGCTGAGCGTTTCAACATATATACATGTACACGCTTGCACACACAGACACACACACACACATGCACATGCACATGCACGTACAATCTCTGCAGGGGGAGAGGGAGAGGAATTGAGGGATGTGTTAGCGAAGTGGGCGAAGCAGCAGCAGCAGCAGCAGAAGGAGTAACGTCGCGGTGAACTGATGTGGGAAGGGGTATTGGGTGATTGGAGGGCATTGCGTGAGCATTCCAGTGGGGGACTGAGGAGGTGCCAATGGCTGCGCTCGATGTTGTTTACGTTGCCCACAATATGGAAAAGAAAGGATCAGGGAAAAAAAGGAAAACTGCTTTTCATGCGAAGAAGAAAAAGAAAATGAACGAAAATAAGACAGCTAAAGGATAAATTGCACTAGTCCAGGACGGCTCGCTTAGCACTGCGTTTCCTCTCTTGTGTTTCTTTTCTCTTGACGCATGAGGACTCAGCATGACGGGGTTTTGTGGGAATCGCTTGCTCTGGTGAGTGGTGCCTCTCTGTACGCGTGGGGGCATATATATATATATATA